TTTCTCCACAACCTCGCCAGCATTTGTTGCTTGCTGTTCTGTTAAATTTTGCTATTTTGACTGGGGTGAAATGATATCTCATAGTTGTTTTAAACGGGGAGGGTTGAGAGGGGAGAGAAGTGCAACAATGAATGAATGAAAATCCAAAGTCTCTGTAAATTTTTACGGAAATAATAAATTTAAATAAATAAAAAAATAATATTGATACACATGGGGGGGGGTGCGAAAAAAAAAAACCTTAGTCCTCAAGCAGTTAAAGGAAAACAGACTAGATCATGAAGCCTAGCTATTCCTAGTGATGACATGAAGGAAGAATAGCAGAGGAGGTATATACTGTGTTTTGGTCTTTCTTGGCTGTTACCAAAATGGATTTTTTAATAAATCCCTTGAGCTTGTATCTTCGGTGGTTGACCTAAGGTTTGGTCCCACCTGTAAGTTAGTTACTAAACATAACACAAGAACCTTCTCTTCTCACGGGTGATGGTGAATCTGTGGATAACAAACCCCTCATTCCATTAACCTGATTAACTACTGAACAAAGACTAAAGCACTTTTGTGAAAAGTTCCAATTGGAATTGGGAGGAATAACTGTTTGTACTGTGCTCCTATTTATGTATTTTTACTTAAAAAAAAATTACTTGCATTATCTCATTGTCAATTATCTATTTTTATAGAAAGGGAAAGAAGCACAGACAGGCTGTTAGATGTGGGTATTTGGAAGATGGAGAGCCCAAATTTGAGCCCACTCTTCCACGGGCTTCTCTCTCTCTCTCCTAAAGTTCCTCACCACCTGCCATAACCCTCAGGTACAAAAAGGGAGGTTTTTTATTTTGTCCTTAAATTAACTGCTCAGTTCTAGAGAGGTAGTTTCAAAGTTCCCGCCCTATTTGCCTGTGAGCAAGATCCGAAAAAGGCAGGGGAGGCATATACACAAATTACATGTAGCTAAGTGATTTAATATTAGCAAGGGCCAAACTGAAATCTCTACGAAAAGGAATACAAAGCAATAATAATTACTTCAAAGAAATAAACATTTAGAGGAAGAAAAATTTTTAAAAAAGATGTTTATTTGGAAAAGTCAGCCTCTTATACAGGTTCTGTATCTATACTTTTCACTCTGTTAATTACAATGATAATTTAAATTCTTGGAAAATAATTCATTGAGTGTTTATCAGTAGCTTCCTGCCTCAATTTAAAATATACTAGTTTAAAAAATATTTACAGTTTTTCTTCTGGTCTGCCTTCCCTCCTATCATACTGACCCTAATATATAGAGATATATAT